TGCTTCACGTTTATACAACTTTGAACCGATTTAAAAACAAATGACAATAAATTGTAAATTATACCTATTTTCTCAAGGAAAACTATAAAACATATTTACTTTTTATTATTGAAGCAAATGACATATCCAACTTGAGAAATATATTCTGAGGCTAATATTATATAATAATTACTAGAATCTATATAATCATTTAATGATTCAGTGTTTCACTATTCTAAAATTTTGAATCTTCAATTATTTATTCCATGTAATATATTCGATTATTTAAATCTGAATTAATGTTAATGATAACGGTTTATTTAGTATATTTCTCATCAATAATCATCTTATATTGTATTTGTTAGATGTTATTGCATACATTGGCTATTTGCAATTTTTGTGTAAGTTAAAAATAATTAAAAGATCTACAATTAAATTGAAATATTATATAGTGGTAATGAAGCTTGATGATATTTTTATTTTTCTTTGTGAAGAAAAAAGCTTTGGGGAATAAGCTGAAGTCATAGGCCTTAGGGCAAAGACCCTGTATTTTATTTTTCTGTGAAATGATGTTCTTGATCATTTATTGGATAATTAAAAAGCAGTTAATATTGGGTGTTATTAAATTTGCACATTAAATCGGATTTTATATTTTTTGTTTGCATCACTAAATATATATACATATTTTGTAAAATTAAAAAACACACTTTGTATAGCCTTGACAATTTTTTATTATTTTTGATAATTTTCTTGACATTTAATAAGCACTATATGAAGATATTATATTTTTGCATTATTATATTAAGTTTTTATATCAGTTTATGCATTCACCAATATCGAAGTAATATAACAAAATTCTCTAACTAATTTAACCTGAATCTCTATAAGCCCAATAAACAAATAAAAATAATTAAATAATTCATAAAGTAGATTTCCTTAGTTGGTCCTCTGTTTTTGAAAATGTGCTTGTAATTATCGTATTTATTTCATTACAATCGAGTATCTTGATTAAATAGAGAATTAATTATAGTTTTCATGTGTTTGTTCAAATTCATATAATAAATAAATACATAAATAAGTACGTCTGAAACCACAATGTTGGAAATAAATACAAGTTATGAAAACCAAATGCTTTGCAGCAATTGTTATGTGAAACATAGATGATTATTCTCATAATAGTAAATTACTTTGAAAATTTAATTTTTGAATCAAGGATCATTTTATTTCATCAATTTTATTTCTGTTTGTTTTTGTTTCTAAATTCTGTAAAGTGCATTAGTCTATCATATAATTTGATTTAAAAATATAATTTGTTTATACGATCACAATTAATATGGAAAAAGTAACCTAATGTGTTTTTAGATAAATCCATGTACATCTATGTTCATTCTTTATATAAATGTGTTTCCACCATTGATTTCATAATTATTTCATATAAGTTTTTCGAAGAGATGTATTCTCTGCACATAAAAAGTTTCGGGAAAGTAGCGGGCCAATGTTTTATTTTGTTATTAAGTTATAATATGCTATTTTTATTTTGTTAAGAACATATACTTTTAAGGGTTTTTGCTTATCTCATTTTATTTTTATAGTAGACGAGAATACTTATGTTATTTTCAGTGTTCAAAAATATAATATAATTATGATATCCTTTCATTTATGGTTAGATCTTGTATTTTATTGCTCTAGTTAAATTTTGTTATATAGTGTTTGAAATACTAGAGGGTATACTATCAAAACCAAAATGTGTGCAAGCTTTTCCTATAGTAATAATGACATTTTTCAGTAACAAAAATTCAGTATGATTTTTAAAATAATGGTATAATTAAGATACATTATTTATAAATCATCAATTTGCAAACAGGAGTCCAAACTAAATTCATAACAAATAAATATAAAGATCACAAATCACAAATGGGTACATTATTAGTTTTGCATTTGAACTATAGTTCAAGATATATTTTTGCAAAATAGTTCTAATGAATCTGAAACCAATACTTTCAGAAGTTTTCAACACTATTTGGAAATTTGCAAATTGCAAATTGCTCCTGTTGGTTCCATTAATGAATAATTATAACACTTTCATTTATCGATTTCATTGATTAGATCAATTTTTTTTTGATTATTACTAATTTTAGAATGAAAAATTTAATTATTTTCTCTGTTGATTTCTAATAGAAGAAATGCTGTTTTTTGCAAGCTTACAAAATTTCTTAAAAAATTGAATTAATAAATTGTTGAGTAGGTAATAATAACCTTTCTCAGATCTTTGTTAAATAAAACAAAAAATACAGTTTACGAAAACACAAAGGATGTATTAGTTTTTAAATATTCTAAACTTAGAATATAAAATATTGTATATCATGAAAACGGCTATAATTTGTAAACGAGTTCTGAATAAGTACATATTAATAAAAATAAGAATAAGAATAATATATATGAATATCTAAGGCATTAATGCAATAAGTCATGTTGGTTTTAAAAAAAATATATAAAATTTACACACAGCTAAGAACTATTTTGATACTATTTTGAATTATTCAAATTTTAAATTGTTGTTTCCTATAAATATAGATAACTCGATGTTTACTCGTATAATTATTATTGATTTTATCAAGTAGATCCAAGTTTTTTTTAAAATTTAGTTTCGTTCATATATACATTCGCAAAACATACTACTTATTAACTGAATCCAATTTTTTCAAAATACATTTGATACTATTTTGAAATAAGCAATTCACCACATACTGCTAGTGTTGTTACTGACACCATATATGGTCAATTATTATCTAATAATTGTTATTGATTTTATTGAGTAGATCCAAGTCATTGGTTTAATATTTACTAAATTTGATACTTATTTTTACTAATGTTTCTGTATTCATATTTAATTATTGGTTTTGCAATTTTACAAAAGTTGTAATTTCATATAGAAATTGAAATAAATAATTTTTAAATTATTAATTATAATGTTATTTTCAAATCTTTACAGAGATACTAGCATAAAAAATGTATGTGTATTTTTACCAATAACCCATTTTGGATTTAATAAAATAATAAATTACATATAAATAAAAAAACATTTTTTGCATTTGACCCTTTGTTCAATCTATATTAGTAAATAGGCTTAGTAACTAAATCCAATACTCACAATTTTTGTGACACTATTGTGAAATATGCAATTTGCAAATTGTTGTTGTAAGGATAATTATAGTTTATATAATTTTCATTGATTTCATCAAGTAGATAACCAAGTTTTTTTTTAATTTTCAGTCTAGTTCATATATGAATTACAAAAATATAATTATTGAAAATATCCAATTCTTTCAAAAGACTTCTGATACTTTTTTGAATTATGCAAATCGCACTTTGCATATGCTATCACGATTTCATTAAATGGATCCAAGTCATTATTTTAATTGTTATTAATGTTTATTATTATTTTTGTTTTAATATCATTAAAAGTGGTATTGTCCGATAATAGTTAAATTACCTAATATATTTTCAATTGAATAATAATAATGATGTTTTTTTATCTTAACCAGGATCGAGAAATGAAATTTGTACCTGTATTCATGGCAATGGCCATATTGCCGGGTTCAATAAATTATTACAAAATTTTACAAAATTTTATTGTCCTATATTGCAAAAACGAGATAACATTAATGTATATATAATAACTAGCATTAAATGCTGGGTAATAAGTTGTTGAATGAATTGACAATATTTTTTTATCTGTATTTTTAAAAAGTGCATAAAAAATTTGATATGTTTCTATATATTCCACCATAAATTGTTTCATAGAACTAAAATGATGCCATAGTATTAGTGGTAGTATTTTAAACTCTGCATTAACATATACATAAATATCAAACATTTTTGTCACAAAACTTATGTTCTAATCTCAATAGTGAAGATTAAAATGCAATATCAAGAAGTGTCTAATATTTGCTGTAATTTCTTCTTATCACAAAGATCCGGATCACTGACTCTAGACTCATAAATAATAATGCTTAAATTATTCATTACAAAACTATATCTATTAACACTAAACCTACCAACATTTTATGTATATCTATTCCTACCGGTGGTGGTCAAATTACCGCCTTTAAAATTTTCATTGCTAGTTGATTACTAGAAGAGGTCCATTGTTCATTTATAAAAAAACAAGATTTTTGAACACTATACATAAAACAATATAGGGTAGTTCTCTTTGATAAAAGTTTTGTTGTCAAAGATAAGCTTGTAAAATAGTTATCAGTTATCATCTTTTTATAAATAAACAACAAACCCCCTCCAACAATCAGCCAGTCATGAAGTACATATGTATATTTGGAGATATGAAACATAATGAATAATAGACACCAAAAAATTAAATGGTCTTATATTACAGAAAAAGTCATGCCTTAAGTTGAAGAAATATAAAAAGCAAATTTAATAATCCCGACTAATGTTTCAAAAGCGGTCATTTTGACCGATCTGGTAGGTTTAGTGTTAAATATCAATAAATTACTTCATGTTTAGAAAGAAATTGTAATGCTTGTAGCATGTAAATGAGTATTTAAATTGTAATAGGAAATAACTATTTAAAGAGACTATATGTAATGTGAAGAGCAAATCACAATAAAATAGAAACAATTAATAATAATAAGTAATTATTATAATATTACAATAATATTTATTTTATATTACTTATTACGCAAAAATTTTAATTCAATCAGGTTCTAAATACAAGTGCATTAAATTTCGACATACAATTTTTTTTTTGTGATAAAATACCAAACAATATTTCATGTTAAAACATTATCTTAAAACTTTCACTTGATTTATTTTGTACCTTTTCTTGTTAAAGCATTAGTATATACAAATTAAATTATGCTATTGGCATACTTTTTAATACCTTGCCTGGTATTACTTGGCTTTGAAGCATTCCTCGACTTCTACTTCCTTCACTTCGACTGTACATAGTTCAATTTAATGGTATTAAATTTAATGGTTTTAATACTGATTCTTAAAGCCCAAGTGCATGCATTCATTAGCAGTACAGTATTAAATGAAATATGAAAAGTGTCATTCAGTTTTCAGCAGAAAATTCTTGAAGCACTCTGTGTGGGGTAAATATGCTACTGCTTAATGTTGCATAATCATCATTCAGATCTAATGAAACATTTAATGATGTTCCCCTCATCAGTGGATTTATTGTAGCATATGTATTGTCAATCTGTAATACATCAACAATTTCTTTTCCTGGTGCAAGAACTTCTGGATCACTAAAGACTTGCATTGTTAACTCTTGCTCTTCATACAATTTCAATTTCTGCTCCATCCACAAAGGATTTTCTGTAGTGTTGATGCTTTCCACGCTTTGTTTTTCAATCAATTCTCCCATTCCATTTGAGCTGTATACAGGTGCTGTATATTTCCATTGTTTTAAGGAGCAGCAAACAACCAACAGAGCAACAGCTCTGATGAAAAGCATCACGGTCAATGCAATTACTGCACCCAGCGCAGCGCCAAAAGTTCTTTCAGATCGTTCTCTGAATGCAGGAACAATGTTTTCCACGGCATAACCAGCATAATAGTCGGTCAGTTGATCATATTTCTCATCTATATCCCGTAATACATCACCGGTTGGTGCGATTTGTAGACTCGTCGGGTCGACAATGTGAAGATACATATCAGACCAGTTATCGCGCACATTACCAATAGAATCAACATGATATCTTATATCATCAACAACGACTAGTCTTCCAGTTATATTCGACAATTCCGTTAATATTTCTTCTTGGCGGGCGTAGATCTCATCAGCAGGTTGTGAAAATATCACTCGTATTAATTGCTCTGGGTTGTATACCCAGACATGCACAACTGCATTTGCGCGTCGATTCGGCTCAGATACTTCTTGAGCAGAAATTTCAAGCAAGAAATGTTCCTGGTCGTACCCCAACATATGCTCTGCTGTCGAAATTCTACCGTCTGCAGCTATGATAAATGGCGGCGGTACTAGAGCTCCGCCAATGGCACTAGTGCTACTAAATTGAGACTGATTGCCATCAGAAGGCATAGCAATAGTTCGTTTGAGTCTTACGGCATCTAAACTGTAAGTCAATGTCCCATTGAGTCCTTGATCAGGGTCTGTAGCAATCACCGAAATAACTGAATCTCCAGGAACAGCGTACGAGTTTATACCTGCATAATATAAAGATTTACTAAACACAGGCGGGTTGTCATTTTCATCGGTAATATATATTTCAACCTTTGTCAAACTTTTATCAGTTGCTGAATCTGATTTCATAAGACTCATTCTTTCAGAAATATTGAGATTAGCATTATTACTTGCGTGTATATACAAAGAATATAGTTCTTTTTCTTCTCTATCAAAGACTGCATTTGTATATAAAATGCCTTCTTTTTTGTCAATTTTGAATGAGTTATTACCATTTCCCAAAACGATATAATAATATATGACAGCGTGCGGTTCATCATCTTGATCTATCGCTTGTACTTTTCCAATTCTTGTATATCTTTCAGAATTTTCTTTCAAATAAAATTGATAATTGACTAAAAATGATGGCTCGTATTTATTAGTGCCTACAATCACAACAGTCAAAGTTCTCAACGTCTCGTGCGATAGATGATTTGCTTGGTCTTTGGCAACTAATATCAATTCATAAATAGATGACTTTTTACGGTCTATAAATTGTTTTATTCGTAGTTCTCCAGTAACACTGTCTATTATAAAATGATCTGTTTCTTGGACATTGTTGTTGCTGACCTTCAAATGATATGTCACTCGACCATTGTCACCGTAATCATAATCGACAGCTTTTACAGTCATGATCACATGACCTGGTAGAGCAGCATTTTCCAGTATTTGCACTGTACTGTTTACTAACTGAGGATTTATAAACACAGGTCTATGAATATTTATACCAGCCACAAATACCGAAATTGTTGTAGAAGCAGTGTATACTCCTGTGCCATTTAAATCTTTGGCTTCAATAATCAAAATGTATTGACCCGTGTGGTTCAATAAACTCGTTGCTGGATAAAGAATTCCTGTAGAAGGATCTAATTTAAATTTTCCATCTTCATTCCCACTTTTGATCATGTATTGGACAGTACCATTGAGTCCAGCATCTGGATCCTGTGCGTTAACTTGTAAAATAGCTGTAGGCGGAGAAACAGCAATGTTTTCATCTACTGAGCCATGATAAATATGATGTTCAAAAATTGGTCCATTATCATTTTCATCTAAAATTTTTATCAACAAACTATTAAATTACGTTCAAAGAGAAAAAAATTAACCTTTTTTATTATTTAAGTTTTAGTTCAAGATATATTAGTAAATAGACTTAGTAACTAAATTTAACACTTTTGACACTAAATATTCAATTTTCAATTTGTTCTTCTTCTCCGCAGAGTATGGATAAATATATTCTAGTATATAAAAATAAGTTGGGTTTTCCTTCCTGGCGATATAACTCCAGAACGCACGAACCGATTTCGACGATTTTGCATTCGTTGGAGAGGTCTCGGACTCCGTGAGGTGTATAGCAAAGAAAATTGAAGAAAAATTTCAAAAAAAAGCGGAATACATTTTTTTCTTTTTTTACATACAGCGTCATCGCTGATACTAATCACGTACTACAAACCAATATTTCAAGTAGTTGGCGCCGGTAGATACATTGTTTGACAGCTACTCATTTCCTTTTAAAATATAAAACAAAACAAAATTTCTTCATCTTTTTCACGAAACCATGTGGTGGCGAAACGGAGTTCGCTGGGTTTGCTAGTTGTTTATATAATTTTGATTGATTTCGTACAGTAGATCCAAGTTTTTTTCCTATTTTCGTTACTTTTAATAACATCATATATTTCAAAAAAGTTTTGATACTATTTTGAACTATGCAAATCGCACTCAATCATTCAATATGTGGTCGCACGTATGATAATAGGTTGTAAAATATCCCCCTTCCGCCTTTTTGTATATAACCAAGAGCAAAAAAGCGGATTTAGATATTTGACAACCTATTATGATATGATATGAATATGTGGTCAATTAATGTTTAATTATTTTTTATCGATTTTGTTTGCAGCTTATATTAAATAAATATTAATTATATCATCTTTACCGATCAATTTTATCCAGTTCTTTGATCCTTTTATTTTGAAATTAAAATTTGAATTTTTTTTCTGTAACTTCCAAAAGTTTTTGACACTCTATAGAAATATACAAATTGCGAACGTTGTGTCCGATATATGTATATGGCTGATTAATACTACTTGCATCAATTTTATTGAATAGTTTTTATTTAATATGTACAAGTTTTAGTATCTTTGAAATAAAGTAAATTAATAAAATTATTCGCGATATTAAAACATCCAATTGTGAAAGATATTTCTTATTCATTATATTCATTAAAGTGCTAGTAAAGATTAATAAATAATTTATTAAATTAATTAACAAATATATTATTGAATATTCTTGAACCTTCAAAAGATTGCATTTGATAAAGTAGTCGTTTTCAGTTAGTTTTAGTATTTACTATTCCTTTCTTTTCCAGAATGTTTTTATTATAATATTATTCATTATTAATCAAATTCTTCACACACATAATATTTTAAATAAAAATTAAAAAAAAATATTCAAAATGTTATTCACATAATAACATATTTAATGTGATCGTTTTGTTACATTTTTGTTATCGAGTATAACTTATTTTTAAACTTAGTTGTAATTTGTATTTTTTATGTTATATTTATTTGATTTTTGTATTTCTTACAATGGATTTTATAAGTTATTATGATTACAACTTACTACAGATTGCAAAATAATTTAATATCATATAGTAGTTGTAGTTCCACAGATTATCCTCTGATAATTGGTAGTACTGCATTGCGGAAGGTCCATGAACTGAGTTAAACTCCAACTCGATTCAGGGAATAATAGTATGAGATATTTCCCATTGCAATTTCACACCAAAAGGGTCCATTTACAATAAAAATCATATTTTTGATTTACATTTTCAAGTGGAAATGGACATCGTCGCTACACGATGTCAGGTTGTCTTGAGCGGGATTCGAACTGTTAGGTCCATAGGTTAATTTTTTTTCAACATTCTATTTTAATAAAATTGTATTACACCAAATCTCACAGATAATATTGGTTTGGTCTCCTCACCAAAAATTTAATATTTACCATAGTAATGTCGATTTATACATGACAAACTGCAATTGCTTCACTTAATATAAAATATGTTGTACGAATCATTGTAGTTATTTTGTTCATGTCCAGAAACAAGTATACCAATTTATCGCAGACCATTACACAGTAGCACTCTAAATAAAACCATCAAGATGAATTTCGATAGTTAAAGTTCCTGATTCCGGTTTTCATATTTTTCCGGCAAGCTATTGCTTCTTCTATCTCCGGAAACATTTCTGTATACGTGAAGTTTCCGTAAGAAACAACACTCTTCGTTTAGTTTAAAATGCTGTTCCATACACTGAGAAAACTATTATGCTTAAATGTTCGAGTTTGTTTTTATATAAATAATATTTTTAGAGCAAGTGAATGTAAAGACACAAGTATATATTCAATAGTATTTGAAGCCATCTTTAAACTAATGGTGCATGGCTTCTAGTCTCAAGGCAAATTGCTAGAATTTTCATCAAAATTTTGATTCCTGTTTGTTTGTGAAAATTTTTAAAATATGAAAGAAGCTACTATTTTATACATTTTGATGTTGTTTTGAATTTTGAAACCGCTGGACCTGTCTCATTTGAAAACCAATCATTTTCCTCACAAAATTGCTATTAAAGTGCGTATCTGTTTTAGAGACAATATATCGAAGAGCGATAACGCCGTGTCGCAGTCATATGATTAAACTAGTGGGGCACATGGCATCGTGCCTTAAGGCAAATAGCTGGAACTTTCCGTACCAAAAATTATTTTTTTAAACACGATTAACATTTTTGAAAAATGTTACTTCGAAAAAATTAGATTTTTGAGAAATTATAAATTTGCCAAAAAATTACTTTTTTTGAAAAAAAAAATGTTTTTTTTATTTTGACATATTCTGAAAATTCTGAACTTTTTTTTTCAAAGCAATGGTACTGCTTTAACTGCATGGAGACACAATGTCAAAGCGCGTAAGCGCCGCGTCGCCGTCCAGCAGATAAACATTGGTACGGAATCCATAGGAATGTAAACAAATTTCATACTTATTGTTAAAATCTCTATAAAATATCTGATAATTTGATGTGCATATGTCTAATGATCATTTTTGACCGCCAAATGGCATTTTTTTTACTTTATTTATCAGATCTCCGAAACCGCTAGACCTGCCTTCATAAAAGTTTGTTTAAATTTTCATCCTGTCAATACAAGTAAAATGTTTTCTGAATTATTCAAGTCGGACGCTCCGTTCTCTTAAAAACTGAGTTAACGTTTTTGACACTTTTTGCCCCATACCTCCGGAACTTCTCCACCTGCCTTTGCGAAAAACTAATCATCACGTCTCCTTATCAATACGAATCGAATATTTTTTAAATTATTCAAATCGCTTCATCCGTGTTCCCGAAATCGTCGACGAAAATTTGTATCCGAACACACACACATACACACACATACATTCATTTTTTCTAAAGTATGACAATATGTTCAGAAGGTTTTGAAACGTAAAAATATATAAAAAATTTCATTGTCGATTTTTCTGCGATTACTATAACTAGTCCTACGGGAAGTTAATATTGTGATACTTCATACGCAAATTGTGCCAATTCAAGTGATATGCTTTTTTAAGCATATTTAATAAACTGGTCGCTTTGCCATTTCAAAATTTCCATTTTTTTCACCTTTTGCCTTGTTTTCGAAAACTACTTATCATGTCTCCTCAACAATACGAATCGATTGATTATTTTATTGAAATCGGGTTTTCTTGCGCCCGAAATCGTGGATGAAATATTGTATCCAAACCTACACACATACATCCATTTTTCCACACTATGCCAAAATGTTTAGTAACCTCCGAAACTAACAAAAATGCTTAATTTTTATTTTTTTAAAATGCAAAAATTTTCGATTTTTTGTGATGTTTATAAGTTTTAATTCTTGTAATTCTATGTAATAAATATTTTGTTTTTTTTTTCATGAAATACCCAGAGGTTATAAATAAATACTAGAATATATTTAAATATAATTCAAATCAAAAGCACACTAGCAAATTTCAAAATTTGTTCGAATTTTATTCTGAATTTTATTTATTCAATAATAAATTACCTACGATTATAAATAAAAGTACCAAATAAACACGTCTATTTTGCTAACTTTATCAAATAAATTTGGCTTTAACTCTTTTAATTTTGCATTAAAATCATTTGAATTATCCAGACAATTATCTAGTCTTTTAGCTGAATCATTTGGATATAATTTATCAAAAAGTTAGTTAGCAACTTTGAAATTTTCCAAGAGCATTGTAATTTTTGTGCTACCTGCATAGTTTATCCATTTTTTCAATACTAATCTATATGGATTACAATTGATTTCTATCAACACGAGTTTTAATATTTAAAAAGTGCACAAATATTGAATTATAATAGAGAGCAGTTATTTATATTTTACATTAAAAATACGGTTTGATAAAAAAATTTGTGGTGAATGTTGATTTTATGAGTTAAATGTGAAATTTCCTTTTTATATGTTCTATTGCATTTTGTCTAGGTCATCAAAATAAAGATGTTTTAAAAGTTTTTAAGATATTTGTTTGAGTTTTTCTTTTACCGGAGAAAAGGAAAGATTATTGGGAATTTCTAAAAGTAATATTTTTATATGTAATTTTATATTGGTCATATTTAAGTTTTTTAAATTCTGTATTTAGAAATTGGTTTTAAAACTGACATCACGTAGATTTTTTATTAAATGAAGAGGAATGTGAATAATCGAATATATTTGAATTTAATTTAATATAGACATTTTTTTGAATCAATTCAAAGTTTTTACTATGTAATAGAAAAAAAGCTTATAAAATCAACTTTTAAATTTTAAATTTGATGAAGAATAATTAAAAAGTTGTAACACGATTTTGTGTGTATATATATATATATATATATATATATATATATATATATATATATATATATATAATTTAACTGAATTAAACTTAAAAATGAGTGATATTGAATGTAAATAGGAGACAAAAGTTCAGAAAATTTGCTGTTTTAAAAGATTTTAATCCCTGAAATGAAGTTTTATTGAAGGAAAGGACAATTTATTATGTTTTTCAAAAAGTTTAATATAATCTAAGAGTTTTTCTGTTATTGCAGCCTATGAACATTCACAGTGAGTTTCTAAAAGTAATAATTTTTTTATATGTGATTATATATATATATATATATATATATATATATATATATATTCAATTTAATATAACTGTTTAGAATATAAGTTTCTAACATGGTTTTAAAATAGATATTACGTATTTTGTGATTAAAGGAAGGGGAATTAGAATAATCGAATATATTTGAATTTAAATTTATATAGAAAAATTTTGGTATCAATTCAACTTTGTTACAGAGTAATAAAAAACACATATAAAATATACTTTTAAATTTTAAATTTGATGAAGAAAAATCAGAATGTTGTAACTTGGTTAGGCATGTATAATGCAACTATATTATATAACTAGAAAATGAATGATCTTGATTATAAATAGGGGACAAAAATCCAGAAAAATTGTTGTTTTAAAAGTTTTTAGTCTATGAGTTTTTTTTTGAAGGAAAGGACTATTTATTAGAATTTCAAAAAGATTTTTATTGTTTTTAAAATGTGATAGTATAGGTCATATTTGGGTTTTCAAATTTCAATAAAATATTTTAGACAAAGTTCTGGCATGGTTTCAAAACAGTTTTTTTTATTGAATAAAATGGAATCTAAATAATCAATTTTATTTGAAATTAATTTGATATGATCGATGATCGAAAAAATACTATTTGAATTTAAATCTTTTTCAATATAACTAAAAAATTTTATACTTATAGAATATACTTTTAAATTTAAATTTGATGAATTATTAGGATGTTATAATTTTGTAATGTATCTATAACGTAACTAAATGATACCAAAAAATTAAAGGTTTTGATAATACATAGAAGACAAGAATCCAGAAACTTTGTTGTAATTTGTAATGTTTCAATTACTGAATATAAAAAATTGTAATCATATAATGGTAAAAAAATTTGTATAAAAGCTTCGTCATTTGAAAGCCTAGAAATAAATCTTAATAGTTCCTTTGATGTTGCTATAAACTTTGTATTTTTACAGTTATTAATTTTATTATATACAGATATTAATTTTATTATATAAGATATCAAAATCTCATTAATATTTTAAATAAAATTTAAATTCAAATATTAAAAAGAGTGTTATTATTTTAGACTTTTCCTAATAAAACAGGGCGTCTAGATCTAATAATCCGCCGAATCAGAATGATACTAAAAATGAATGATTTTGATTCGTCTTTGCAGAACAAAATTAATTTTTTGAAAAGTTCCTAAAGGATTGTTATTTGCGAATATTTTTCTGATGCAAGAATTGACTTCAGATGCCAATATTTTATAATATTTTTTACATTTACGGAAAACGCGTACGTAAGTTCCATTAATAAGCCCGGCATAGTTAACTTCCTTTAACAATGAGCAATTGAAAGTATTTTTCTCGAGTTTGAAAATAAAATCTTGCCTTGTAATTGCAAGTAGAAGTTTTACGTGTCAAGCAAAGGGCTAGTTGCGATGAAGTGATTACGCTTTCCGGCACGCCATATACCGATTTATGTCACACTCAGAGAACTCGACGCCCACTAAAACATTTCTATGGTTTTACCGGATGCGTTATGCGTCAATAGGGAAAAGGATAGGGTAAGGTACTCATGATCCAAACGAGATAAATCACACTTAGTGCACACGGCTTTTTGTTTGAAAATTTAGTATGCCTTAAGACAAATTGCAGGATGTCTCCGTATCGTATTTGAAATTTTTTAGAAGCTTTAAAACTTACGAAAAAAATTCTGTTTTAACTTTTGTATGTTTGTGCCGGATGCGTTCATGCGTCGCCTCAATAGAACAAGGAAAGGATTAGTCAACGTACTTATGATCTCGACCACGGCTTTTTTGTTTGAAAATTCCACATTCATATGAGTGGTTCAGTAGTAACTAATGGTGCATTGCATGGTGCCTTAAGACAAATTGCTTAAACTTCCAGTACCGTTTTTAATATTTTAAAAGCTTTAACATTTTTTTTTTCTTTTAACATTTTTGTGGTTGTACCACATGCTTAATGCGTCAATGGGCCAAAGGGTTAGGCGACGTACTCATGATCCAAACATGATAAATTACACTTACAAAAAACCTTCAATTCGAAATGAGAGGGAAAAGCGGAGATTAGTTTTTGGCAAAGGCAGGTCCAGCGATGTCAGAGATACAAGGCTTAATGTGCAAAAAGTGGCAGTTTTTGAAAGAACTAAACATCAGATTTGAATGATCCAAAGAACTTTCTGCTTGTATTAACAAAATAATTGCTTTTGGAAAAAAAAATGTTTAATTTTTTTTTTCAAAAATAAATGTTTCATTTTTTTTAAAAAAAAATGTTTTTAAATTTTTTTTGTATATCGAAAATAATTCTGATTTTAATTTTAATTCTTGCTAAAGTTCTAAAGCCACTTAAATACTTTTAAATATATAATTTTAACTTTGCAATTCAGTTTATATAATTCTTATAAATATTAGACAATGTTACAGTATTTATAAATAATAATCTATTTGAAAACATTTAATATTTCTCGAACATTTCGTAACGGTACGGAAAGTTTCAGCAATTTGCCTTAAGGCACGATGCCATACACACCACTTGGTTGATGTTGTATCATATATTCATAATGACATAATCTTTTTCTACACGTTGCATATGAAAGTCGAGCCAAACGATTTCGGGTATATTAGTTTGTTTATTAAAAGTCACCAGGTTCAAAATCCCGCATGTTCCCATTGACCAAGTCCATCATCGATATCTATGTTGTAATTGATCATATATTTTATGCTGATCTTAAAATTTATTTTATTTTCTAATCTGAAACCATCACTAGCTCTAGTTTGCAACAGTTTTTGCAGAAATTTCTTCAGATATTCGGCTGAATTGTTAGAAACTGAATTATGATCTTCTGACACAATTAAAACATTAGTGTTACTCTCAATTTTCTTTTTATTATACATGCTTATATTTTTGTTCGTTCCGTTCAATCTGATAGCGTATTCCAGAACGTCATCAGGATTTCCCTCTCGTTTCTTTATAAATGTGAGATCTTTATTGGTCAATGCGTCGTTAGCTAGATTATTTAGCTTATTAATAAACAACAAATCATCATTAGCCTCATTACTTCAGTTAGCTCATAGAAGTGGAATTCATTCCAGAGTGTACTGTGGTCATAAAATGGTTCAATCTCGTAGTGATTAGAAACTTCAGTCTATCTACCACTGGCCTCAACTGGTTCAAGTCTCCCACCGCCAATATTCAAACATTCCTAAATGGTTCATTCACGCTTTTGATTTGCCGGAGACTTGTGTCAATTTGGCTCAACTTGGCACTGCCTACCATAGAAATTTCATCGATAAACACGAGTTGAACTTTCGTTAATTTCTCTCGCACAGTGTTGGCTAAGTCGCTAGAGAGCTGGACCAAGTAAACGCCAAACTGCTTACTGGTCAAAACAAATGCGGAATGAAGAGTCATGCCATTGATTTGGGAGGCTAGGCAATCAAATTATAGATATAAATTGTATCATAATATATTAAATTTCGAACCAAAAAGGAAATATTTTGGCATATAAAAATTTAGTGCATATTGGATATATGAAATTGACATTCAATATTTTTAAATTAAATGCAAAAGTAAAAAATCTGATATTTATATAAAAATTATATATTTAGATAATGGTACTGCGATGATTCAGACTAAAATCTAATTTATTCATTGATTAAAAATATTTCACTATTTGAGATAAATAAAATTAAAATAAACAAAGCACTATGATGCGTTCGAATTAATTATCAAAATGTAAAGAAATTTGTGTAATAAAAATATAACATTATTATTAATACATCATGTATATTATAAGAACTTCTGCAATGCGGCAAAATGTTTTTGATGGCAAAACAGCGTTTGCCGGGTCAGCTAGTATATATATATATATATATATATATATTATAATAATTACTAATAGCTATTCAGTATTATCTTCCAATGATTTGATAATAAAAAAAATTCATTGTTACCTCTTCTGGAAAACATGCAGGCAAGTTTTAATTGTTTTAATTATAACAATATTCATTTTTAGATTCTGTTCTATTTTGTATTAAGTAGTGTAGAGCGGGTATTAATGGTCCGTGAGTAAAAAGTTATCACTACCGATATTTCAAAAGTAAACAGTATTGGAAAGTCAGCTAAGAAGTTCACAGATCATAGTCAGATAGTTGATTATTTGATATATGTGTTGTTTGTTGCGATTCATTTATCTTGATTACACACAATATAATTGCTCATAGTATAATCGGAGCTTTGTGCCCAGCCCTACCCTATAACAAATTACGGTGACCTATTTAATATCACCCTTTGTTTTTAACTATACCTCATTTTCTTTATGAAAATCATTCTAATCCTATATAATTGAGAAACCGGATGGTCCTAAATAAATACACGATAGTGTTCTTTGTTTGTTTCTCTCCTTATTAATTTGCAATTGTATGTTGAGGGTGCTGCTTGCCCTAAAGTCTGATTAATATTTCGATAGAGTATTTCGTAAAATTTCAATAATTATAATCAGGTTGTCTAAAGCGGATATCAATTCTAGAATTTTCTATTATAACGACAAATCTCTTTTATTACTTATATTAATTGTGTATAAAAACTAACCAATTTTATAACATACTAAAATTAATACTAAAAGTAGCAAGTATGCTCTGTATGTAAACTTATATATTTTTGCATCCATATGGTATTTTTTTGACTAGAACTATACAGTATTTTCAGTAGTTTAAAATAGATATTTTACAATATAGAATTATGTACATGGTTTTCTACCCTAAGGATATTTTACATAACCAGATTTTTTCAATTTGAATGATTAAATATAATTAAAATAATAACATCTATATGTAACAAATAAGAAATACTGTTAGCAGTTATAAATGATTATTTTAAATTGAATTTATAAAGTTGTTCTCCGTCAAAAATGCCTTTGCAATAATTACACAGAAGATATTTATTATATTTTGTTATCTTAATCAATTTTATAATCAAAATTACTATTAAAATTATAACAAATATATCCTTTTTCTAAACTTATATACTTTTACAAAAAAGTGACTTGAAATGTGCCAAATCTTAAAATGTTAATCACATGATATTTGTATTTTTATATAATAAAAAATGTATTAAAACTCACAACAAGTATTTATGTAAACTTAAATATTTTCACTAGCGTATATACATATAACGTGTTATAAAAATAGTTATATGAAAATATTCTTTAGTAAATATGATATTTTTCTTAAATATTTTCATAAACGAGAAGATAAAAAATAATGACTAGAATTTTAAAGTGATATCATTTACGTTAAATTTCATATATGATATTAATATAGTAGAAAGTGCGTTTTCAGTAAACTAAAGATATGCATTTCATTTAAACTATATATATTAACATACTAAAATTATTACTAAAATTTATGTCACGTATATTTTCATGTAAACTTGTAGATTTGTGTCAGCATTTTGGTGGTAAAGTGAGGACTAAAATTATACAGAATTTCAAAATGTAATATGATATGATTTATATTAGTTTGATATGATTTTATATTAATGTTTAAGTTTTATGTTTTCAGTACATATTATATATGTTTTATATTAAGACTACATTTAACTAATCTAATTAGGACTATATTTTAATTTATTTTATTTCATACCAAGTTATTCATAATACCATTACCACTGATAAATGTTTCATTTTTATAGATTCTGCTAAGCATAGTTACTTGTAAATTTATGTAGATATTACACTCATGGCTTCTTTCAAGTTAGATACATTTTTAGTTGAATGAAATATTATCAGTTCAATTAAAAAGTATGGTAGAATGGGCTTAAAAGTTCGCAAGTAAAAAGGTCAAAAAACGATATCTGATATACATTTCTACAATGATAAATTACCTTGCATTTTCGCTCAAAATAGTGAGATAGTTGTTTGTTTGATATGTGTTATTTGTTGTGATATTAAAGATTTAGTTTTCACAATATAAATACTCAATGCCCGACCCCATCGTATTTTAAAATGATACAATTTATGTTGAATTAATCATCATTTAGAAAAAGTTTTTTCAATGCACAAATTACAATTTTTTATAAAATCACTAATGTTATACAAACATATGATTTTGAATGAATGAATTAAAAAGCGAGTATTACTCCGTTCTAATTTTTGTTCCCAACTCCATTAAACTAATACTAGCCCGTTAAAAGGCATTATCTCAAGAATACTAAATCTCTATCAAAGTTATGAAGAGATGCCTTGTTTAACCTTAATACGTTTTTGTACGTGATGAGATTTCTTACACTAACTAGGACTCAGATTCTACGCACTAGAAACAAAAGCCTCGTAGTCATTCTACGGTCAGATGAAGAAAGTTCGTAATTGGGTCAGTATTCTTTACTTATTCAATCATATTATTATTTGATGAAATTTTATATGGAAATAGTAGAAATGCTGATAAATATAATATAATATTTTGGTGTCTCAATTTTTAAATCAATTCATAATTTTTTACATCTAAGTATGCAAACATAAATTACTTTGTAAGTACGCGTATTCCTAAATTTGTCTTTACTCGAGTAACCCCGATTGATAAACATGTTTTATTGTTATATATATATATATATATATATATATATATATATATATATATATATATATATGGAGGTGTAGTAGTCCTCCATATTAATACCAATATTATCCAAATTGTAGTAATAATAAATTCCATAAAATATTATTTATATTTGGTTTATTTTATGTATGATTAATATCCACGACACTATGTGTTGTCATATTTATCGTTAATAAAATGTGATTGGTATTTTCTTATTTATAATAGAAAAAGAAAGGTTTTGAAAATTATACATTTTGGCAAGTTCGACTAGGGAGAAACAAAAACCGTGTCCGATCTGACACTTGAATTTCCTTTTGTTTTTCTCAGTGCTGTCACTATATGGGCCAATCTGTCCAGAGACATGTGATGCGTGTTGACAAGCCGCTATGCGTGTTGGCAACCCGCTACATCACTCCGCCCTAATGAAAAAGATTGTTTCGCATCTCTGACTGCCATTCTTGAACTTCCTTGTAAATTTCTTTTGGTTGAGATTGTGTGATAAATTGCCGTGTTGGCTTGTTGAGTTTGTTGATTGCTTACGTGGCCCTTCGCTGGTGAGTTAGCGGTTGAGTAGATGTGGCCCTTCGCTGGTGAGTTAGCGGCTGAGTATATTTGACACTTCGCTGGTGAGTTAGCGGTTGAGTGTATGTGGCCCTTCGCTGGTGAGTTAGCGGTTGAGTGTATGTGGCCCTTCGCTGGTGAGTTAGCGGTTGATTGTATGTGGCCCTTCGCTGGTGCTCCCTGTCTGTTGCCATGTTGCTTATAATCGACTTATTTACCATGATAATAAGTGATTTATTGAGCACGTGTTGTTGTTGATCTTGAAGTGCGTGGTCGAAGTCTCAGTTGTATGCTTAGAGTGCTCTTCGAATTACGGTAGTTGTGAGTCATTTATAATAATTATTTATATTTTTAAAAATTCTTTTCTTAATAATTCTTTAGACTTCAATTTATTTTTATTATCTTCAAAATATGTCTTGATCTTCTTACCTTCTTGTATGTGTGTTGCTAGTTCACTCTCGGGGTCACCAAAATATGGAGGTGTGGTCCATATTAAATACCAAAATGATAGACAATGATAAATTTCATAAAATATTATTTATATTTGGTTTATTTTATGTATGATTAATATCCACGACACTATGTGTTGTCATATTTATCGTTAATAAAATGTGATTGGTATTTTCTTATTTATAATAGAAAAAGAAAGGTTTTGAAAATTATACATTTTGGCAAGTTCGACTAGGGAGAAACAAAAACCGTGTCCGATCTGACACTTGAATTTCCTTTTGTTTTTCTCAGTGCTGTCACTATATGGGCCAATCTGTCCAGAGACATGTGATGCGTGTTGACAAGCCGCTATGCGTGTTGGCAACCCGCTACATATGTATATAGTTATATAAAACTAATGTAGTAAAAGGGAAGAGCAGGGCTCAAAGGTCCGCGGATAAAAAGGTCCGGCATGTGAGCATTGCTGTTTAGTTTGTAAGGCCTTTATATATATCTATGTATATGTTATTTAGTTGTTTTACAAGATGTATTGTTATTTTTGAGTTATAGTCAACAGTTTTTTTATGTAACCTCTATAAAAATGTGCATAGGATAAAAAGAACTTACTGAACATTCACACTGAAAAGTTTAAAAAATGAAAATAATTGAAAAATAAAGTAAATTAAATTTGAAAAGGCACGAGAGACGTTGAATAAATAGATATTCCTACTACGCCGATGATTATTTCGAACCAAATACCATATCAAGGATATATACATTATTATATCTTTAAGAATGTACTCACTAAAATATATGTGGCATTAG